ACATTTTAACATAAGCATTTGGGGGAGAAAAAGTTAACTCTCACCTGGCTATGCAAGCAACCCAGACCAGGAAATCAGGTTTAGATAAACGGGAGTTTACTCCATCATTTTGTATTTCACTGCCATCCATCACACACAGTAAGAGTGTCCCCCATCAGCTCGACATGAAGAACGATACCTTCCGGTGAAGGACACTGTCCAAAGCACCTGGGGAGCCACACTGCTTCCCAGTCTGTTCCTGGGGACAAGTCGCCAACCCAGGGCACTGACACCAGGGTCCTTGCTGCCTCCAGCCCCAACCCCGCATCCACGAGCCCCAGCATCACTCCCCATAGAGTCTGGCGACCACAGCTCCTGGAGTCAACAACCACCCAGCTCAACGCGAATCCCCAGCACCGCGTTCCGTGACTGCAAGCATCCGGAGACCAGGCTGACGCACACTTGTAGGATGCCGTGCTGGGGCTACAAAACCCTGTTGCTAATAGTAGCGCAGCACAAAATCAGAGACTAGCAGGACGTGATTTATTGCTTGATGGTGCCTTCCAAACCCACACCAGTGTTTTGAAAATATCAGGCTCCGCAGAGAATATTATTTGTCAAAAATAATGAAAGCTTTGTTCCTTTCATCATATAATATCTAATGTTTTTTTCCTCCAGCCAAAGTTCCTTTCTGATCTTGGACTAACTACTTTTTCAGCTTGGAGCAACAAGCATTTGCTAATAATAATCACTGGAGAGCTTGGAAACTGGTTTCACACAATGTCCTCAATCTTAGTTTGTGAAGGAAGAAAAGATAGGCAGAATTAGCCATGTTTTTTCAGTCAGCAAGAATGGTGCGTGCATACCGCTTTCCAGATGCAAAAGCAAAAGCATGATTCCTTGCCTGAACTTTTTGCAATATAGATAAAGGCGCGTGCTTTTGTGAAATGCATTCAAGATGGCTGTGAGGTAAGTCAAGTCCTGTGCCTCTGAAATGACCCGATGGACTAGAGTAAGACATGGCATTAGGGTAAAGGCCTGTTGCATACAAGAGGTACTAACTAAATCTGAGCATACTTCTTGCTCTCTTGCTGTACGATGTCTTGAGTATCCCAGAAAACTTGGGTTAACCCTTCTGTGAATGGAGCCAAGCAGTTGTATTCTCAAGGGCAAACTGCTGTGGTGCAACACGTGCCCATGAAGCAATACTCAGGAGGGGGATCGTTTTACAAGGCCACAGTGATGCCAAGTGTTACGGAGAGGTTCAAAGCGTGGCTTGCAGCAGGCTTTAGAGGGGTTTGGTACGCAGAGCAGGATGCAGCTGGGTGCACTGAGGGTGCCCAAGAGGGGTGCTTTGAGCGGGCAGGAGTGTCATGGCCCTGACGGGAGACCAGTGGCTGTCCGAGCAGCTGTGGGGGCCAGACAGGGTGCCCCAGGGCATCCAAAATACACCTAGTTGTTGCTCGTTGAGTCATGATCCCACTTCCATTAGCTTTTAATGCTTAGGTGCCTAGTCTGCTTGAATCTTCAGCAGCCCTGGTCCAGCCGAGGCTTGAAGGGCAACCCCGCTGCCTTGCCTGAGGCGCAGACCACCCCGGCAGCCCCGCTCAGCCAGGTTAGCCCCTCCAGCAGGCAGCCCCAAACCCCACATTGAGCCATCTGGTTCGGCAGCGCTCTCCTCCATGCCACGGGTGCTGAGGGCTCCTCCCTGGAGCCAGGCTTTTTGGGCTTGGGCAGCGCTCAATGGCCATACGTTGCACATCCTGGCAAGGCTTGGCTGCAGCTGGGGGTCTCCAGTGGCTGGCTTCTCTGCGGGGTTTGATGGCATCGCTCGGGGCGGGAGGAAAGGAAGAGCCCTTGTGTTTGCGGTCTGCCAGCCCTCCTGCAGAGACCCGATTTACCCGCCCAACTCAGGGTGCGCCCGCGCCGGGGTCCTGCCTCTGTCCCTGGCTCGCAGCAGATGTTTCGAAAGAGAGCGCAAGAAATCCTGAAGGTGACAGCTACAGAATAACCAGCCAACAGGGGAAATTTCCTCCAAATCCTATTACTCAGAGGTTGGCTTCGACCCTGGAGCATTAAGCTTTACATTCCCTGTAAGTGCCGTCTGTGTGTGTTTGCTCTCTACGTCCCCACCACAGTAACTCTGAATCTTCTGGGTATCCAAAGAGAGGACAAAGGGTCTCATTGCCATTTTTCTGTTTAAAATAGAGAAATTCATTAAGTTAAGGCTAGAGAGAAAAAATAAAGTGCAGTCCCAGATATTATGCCTGTTCTGGAAGGACTTCATAATCACTTTTCTACTCTTAGGAAATACTTTTGCTCCCCACAGAAGGCTACACCAGCGACAGCAACATCTGCCTGGTAGGCTGTTCAAAGAGCCAAAATGTATTAAATGCACGGAATAAGCGATGTTGAGTAACACAGTTCCAGTTACACCATATTACAGGGGCATTGGAATGGTAGGGACAGAAATAAGTGTGAAGGGATGGCAGGCAGATGATGCTTATACATTATTAATTCTAATTTTCTAAATTATTATCAACGAGAGAGATGGACGGGTAAATGCCAGCATGAACTGTCAGCAGTGTTCGGTAGAAATCTCAATTGTCATTCTTAACTTGACAGTGTACTTTAAACACAGAAAACTTCAAATTTAAAATGAAGCCCTTTTCATCTGATAAAATTGCCAGGAAGAATAAATAATTAAACATGTCGAACTGTGGTGCTGCCAGCTCATCCTCTCTCAGCAGACACCACGCTGCAAAGCTGGGTCTGAAAGCTGTCCTTCAGCGAGGAACGCAGCTCCCAGCCCCAAAACATCCCTGCCTCTCTCCACGGCCAGCTGGGTGGCTTACCACGACTGCTTCTGCTGCCGGCTTCTTCCAGGACTGCAAAACTTGCTCAAGAAAGGGGCTTTGCACTAAGGCATTTTCTGCAAGGAGCAGGAGCACAGCAGCACATATGAACATAACATTCATGACACGAGGGTCTGCCTTGTGTATCTGTTCAGCATCCTTGCGTATGACTGAGGTGCCTTAGTGTTACCTCAAAATACCAATATCCCTATAATAGACTTACGGGAAAAAGAGTACATTAGGTGTAAAGCAGAGAGATACATGAAGGTGAAATAAAAATTGGAAGGAAGAATGTACTTAAGGAGAAAATGAGAAAATAGTGGGTAAAAAAAAATCTCAGTTGAAATACTGAGAGAGTATTGAGATAATATCAAATTATTACTCAAAAGGACCACAGAAAAGGCTGGGATACAAGAAAGACTGAGAGTGTAGAAGAACGAATGGACAATACATAGAAAAAAAGGGAAAGAAATAATCATTATTGCCACTTTTTTATTTTGTAGAAAATTTGCTTTTGTACAGCATCTGACTTAACCATTTATCAAACAGACAGCCTCGAAGAAATTCACAGCCCTGGAAATGGAGGCCAGAGACAAATTGTATATGCTTCGCTCTGACTCTTCTTGGAAGCTCCAGATGTTCATTGTTTGGACACACAATGGACAGATTAATGTCTCCAGATGTTCACCATCCACTCTCCCAGAACATTAATGGGCAGGCCAGGGAATGAACGCTTTTAGCAGAAACTTCGTTTTCCGCTACTGCTTCAGATGAAGTATTTTGTCAGTGTTTATTTTCTGGAGAGCACCTGCTCCGAATGTAGAGAGCCTACACCACAGATCAATGCCCTCCCTGCCACCACCCAACACCGCACGAAGCCTGCAAACCGTCCATACAAGTGCTGATGAAATGACTTCCAAAGAGAATGAGAATCCAGCATTTGCTTTTGACTATTCTACCTGATAGGAATAAGCAAATATTTAAAATTATAAAAGTATTTAAGTGGTTGAGTGGCTCGGGGAATCAGCACATGGATAGTACTTCTCTTGAGCCACAGACATGATAAGGCAACTCCTATAAGAAATTTGAACTGGAATCTGTCCATAATTATACTTCTTATTTACAGAGGAAAAAAACATGGATCAATTTAGCATTACCAAATGTGATACAATTAGTTGTCAAACATTAATTTATTCTTGTAGAGAAACTTGTGATGACATTTTTGGGAGGGCTCTAGATAACAAATGCCCATTTGGGTTTTAAGAGAAAAGCTGCTTACCACCAATTCGCAATGCCATGTTATATAAAAACATAGGTGAAACACTGCTGAAAAATAGTAATTCAGCAGCAGCACCCAAGTCCCCCTGAAAATTATTCAGATAGTTTTGAAAATACTATCTTTAACATTATTGGCACGGTTCCCTCTCATTCCCATTCGTGAATTCCCACTGGCAAAAAGTAACCTTCTGCTGAAGCAAAGAGACTTAATCCTACAAAAAATACTGTAAGTGAAGGAAGTACACCTGTTGCCTTCAGTGTATGAATCTATAAGAGAAAACAAAACAGGATTTGGTCTTCCACTGATATGGAGACGATGTTAAAGAGGCGTGTGCCTTTTTCAACTTGAATAATTTCAGTGAAACGGATGCTCAGGTGGCAGCTGGGAGGACTTGAGTTTCTCAGCTTGGGCCACAGCTACGTTACAGATGCACGCTGTCCCGCAGCGGAGTATCTCACCCTGAGAAGAAGAGCAGTGCTCTGCAAGAGGCCGTGCCGTTTCGCTGGTTCTTCTGCCGGTGCTGCGCTGAAGTTTTCCACAGTTTCCCTGTGGGGCGGTCAGGTCACTTCAGCTGACCTGGATTTGCTCTCAAAACACCTTTGCCATAAACCAACGGAAAGAAAAGATCTGAAAAACTGAAGGTAAAATCCTGGCTCTTCTCCAGCGAAACCATTGAGGAATTCAGCTACTCCTTTCAAGAGAACAAGGAATTCGCCCCCAAAAGATTGATATCCAAATATCCTGCACAAAATCTGTGGGAGCTGTTGTATGCAGCAGTTTTGAAAAAGCACTCACTTCTGCCTGCAGGTGGGTAACCCACTTACACAGAAAAAAACACATTTTGTGACAGCCGGTAGAAAACGATAAGAAAGAGACCCTGGAGAGGAAAAATAAGATTAAAAAAAGTAGCATGCCATTAAAACAAGTATAAATACACATTATATTACATGAGTGAACTGTGTTTTCTTTAGTGTACGTGCCATTTTTAATTAATTCATACACTAAGTGCTAAAGTGTTTCCTAATGCCATTAGGTGGTGCTTTCAGTAAGTAATAGAATAAATAGTTCTCGCACGGTTCTTTTCTGCATCGTGTTCTCATTTTCTTAAGTAAAAGAAAATTTAAACAAAACACCACGGATGCCTCCTCCTTCCGAAGCCCACCGACCTCGCGCAGAGCTGTGTATCACGTTTCTGAGGCACTCTGGCTCCCCTCGGGCGTGATAAACTGCACTTTGGGCACGATGAGGGAGGGATTCGTTCTCCGCATGGAGTTGCTCCTCCGAATGGAGTTGTTTCTCCTCATGGAGTTGCGTTTCCGCAGGGAGTTTTGGTGGGACAGCTCGCTCTTCTGCAGGGTCTGGATGAGAATGGACGGCTTCTCATCGAGCTCTCGAGCGCTGCAACGTGGCGCTGCCACTTTGATGGTGTTGCCAAACTTGGAGTAGTCGACTGCGTACACGCCTTCCTCTTCGGTGACGATGGGCACAAAGCGGTGACCCCACAGGATCTCCTCTGCTATGTAGGAGGTTCTCGCCTGCGTCGTGATGCCAGTCGTTTCTACGACTCCTTCAAGTATCACGATGAGCTCCAGGTCCTGGAGCACCAGGTCAGCAGCGGAGATATCGTAAAGAGGACTCCGCTTGTCTATGACATGACAAATGATTAAGGGAGCCACGAGGAAAATATTGTTGCTTTCAATGGGGTTGTCCACGGGGATATCTACTTGGTGAATGGGTATGACTTCTCCTTCAGGGGTCGTAGTCTTCCTCACAACCTGGATTCTCACCGAGGCACTAATGATCATGCTCTTCCTCAGGTCTCCCACTCGAAACATGAAGCAAAGTTTGCCATTTCGAACTGCAATGACCGCCTGCCGGCTGAAAATCAAGGTCTCAGCCCGCCTGTGAGCTTGTGCGGTTTTCATGAATATGCAGCCCAGCATGACAGCGTTGATGATCAGACCCACAATGTTCTGCAGGATCAAGACCGTAATGGCCAAGGGACATTCCTCTGTCATCATCCTGCCCCCAAAACCAATGGTCACCTGAACTTCAATGGAGAAGAGGAAAGCGGAGGTGAAAGACCTGGAGAAGAAGATTGCACAAAGTTAACTCCAAGGACATCCAACACAAACCGAGAAGCTATTAACATATACTTTCCAGAAACAAACTTAAGGACCTATTTGTACAGTCCTGGTGCACTTAAGCCTTCTGTTAACACCAGCAAAAGCATTGCATGCTGAGCGACTCTGCTTTTGTATGATCGGTGCCGTATCTGATGGTGACAGAGAAGACCTCAGAGCCTGAACTCCTGAAAGACCGTCTGTAACACCAGGTGACCCTGAGAACCCACTAGATCCTCTGTTCAGGAACACATGCTACCCACTGCGTTAGTCGGCAGTGCTGTAACACCTGCGCTTTGCACCTTCTCCGTTCCATGAAGCTCTTGGTGGAGAGCGGTGGTTTTGGCAATAGTGAGCAATCGGCTGGCATGCTGAGATTCTTCCACCAGCCTATGCAGGGAAAGGAAATAGGGAAAATTGCAGCATTTCACTCATACTACCTGAGTCGTGACCCCCTTTAGCAGGATTTCCTGGCGGGAAAAGGGACACTCACGGAGTCAGGACGCTTCCCAAACCCTTGCTTGCCTTGCGACTGAGCCCGCAGGATCAGGCTGCGGAGAGAGGCCAGCGGCCTCCACGGTCCCCTCTACACATCCCGGCAGGAGGACAACGCTGTGACCCAGGGTTTGGGTTTAGCTCACTGCTGTGGCAAGACTAGCTGGAAAATTTCAACACAGGAGTGCGTTGCAGAAGTGTGGGTTAAGTTATACGTCCCTAATATGCTATAGTGCTGGACATCAGAGGATGCTGTCCACAAACTTTCCAAATACATTATTTATAGTAGTCCACAATGCCATATTCGCTGTATACACCAGGGTCTTTCATTTCCTTTTGTAACCAGATACATCCTTCACCAACATCTCTTATGCCCAGATCAGTACCCTGGGGTTTATCGGGTAGACATGCAGCACATTGGGTCTCGTGTGAACCAATATCATAGTCACCCTTTTAACACAGTGCAATCCATCAACATTTGAAGCATTATCATGCTCAGCATGGCTTTACCTATGGAAAACATATATCCTGTCCATGACAATGGTTCTAAACTATTCATTGCTTTTGGTTTGCTTTTCAATTAATCTGCTTTTAAATAATTTTTTCTTTTTTTTTCCTAACCATATTTTCAGTGAACTGGGGGTCATGAGGAGACATTAAAATAGCTTAGGCAACATCAGGGATAATTTTTTGTAGAATGAGAAAGTTCATCTTTCAGAAAACCAGCCAGTCTCTGCAGAGACATCTTTGAAAGAACTGTGTCCTTTTTTTGCCTTTTCTATTTTTTTAATCTTTGGCAGATTCCCTTGTATTGAGGGATTTAGTTTTGCATTTCATTCCGAAGAAATCAGGGATGAAGGAGTTAATTAATAGAATTCATGGACTGATTTCTTATGTTCATGAATATTCAGTTACATGCAGAATGAAGCTTCTGGCTTAAACTTAATTCAGCTTAATTCAGCTTAAAGCTCTGTGGAGTAAATATTCTGATTTCCCTTAAGAGTACGCCTTAAAAGAAAAAAGAAAAGAGAAGAGAATCCACCTTTCTACAGTGGAAGTAAGTGAAGCAGCAAGTTTGTACAGCGTTTTGACCGTGTGAAGAGGGAGCCAGAAACTCCAAATCACACTATTCCCAGGTCCTTCCCTTTAGAGCTGTGTAACAGTTTTCCTCTTTGGATAATGTTTGCTTTGTGTGGCAAAGAGCTGTGAGACTTAGAAATTTCTGCAGTACTTCGAAAAATTAAAGTGCTGTGCAAGTTCTAGGCACTGGTTAAAATTTCCAAAACCAGGTTTCCTGTAAATCTGTAATGGCACCTTCCCAAGAAAGCTCTCCTGAAATATCTGTGGGCCTAAATCTCAGGAAAGTAGGTTAAAAAATATTTGCCATTATTTTGACATACGTATCATTGCAATATTAAATATATTTTACATCCAGCAACTCACCGTTCTTAAAAATGTCAGCAATCATATTGCTATTTCACGACTTTGTCCAAAGCGGTAGCCAGATTTAAGAAGATGAAGTATTTCACTATGAAGGGAAGAGATTTTCCATGGCTTGGACGTGGACACTAGAGCAGCTGTTGGCTGAACCACCCCGGGTACTTGCACGAGGGAGCGACGTGTGTTCTTTGTCATGGGCTAAACCAGAAAGTTACACCGATTCATTCGCTCTGCTTTTTCACACCCCTGCAGGCTGTCCTCGTGGCGGAGGTTAGCAGCCATCCTGGAAGAGCCGCCTGCGTGGGG